CCCCCCGTGTTTTCTTTTTAACAATCAGAAGTAACTTATTTTGGATCAATCATTCCACTTCTAGGGGGAATGTCAACTTTTGACATACTATAGAAGATATTGGTAAACCTCAAAAACTTAAAATACTTAAAATTTTTGTTTTATTCAGAAATCCTACATTTAAGACTTTACCCTGAGGCTATTACAGAGCATCAGTATATACACATTTTTTATGATATATCTGGCTGAAAAATGAAAACTAGAGAACAATAGTAAACAACTTCATAGTCTGTTGATAACATATCAACATAAATTACTATAACAGAAATTATTTAGCCACTAAGAATTATATTTTCAAAGTACGTAATGTGTAAAAATGTTCATGTAAGCATAAGAAGATTATGTACATAATATGATTGTAATTTTTCATATGCATAATGATTAATAGAACATTAATAGAAATGTTTATAAGTAATTATATGTTAGTAGTAAAGTAACAGATTTTCTGGTAACATCTAAAATTTTTGTAATAAAGATGGTTTTATGAAATTGAGGTAATTCATGTTTCATAACATTTCCCCTACATATATTCTTATATTTCATTATGTCAGGTTATTTTAAATTACCTATGCTTTCAGTCTTCTTTTGGGGGTATTTAACAAACATTTTGGTATACATTTAAATGTTTCCTCATATATCATTTGTAATTCACTTGTTCTTATTACCATCTCTTGGTCATCTGTCCACATAGAACAAAGAAATACCTTGACAGTATTTCATGATTCTGCCATGGATTATTTAAAGAATATTTAAATTATATTCGATTTTCCTAATTGGAAAATCCTTTTCACAGTCTCAGTGAGTTTGAAGGGATGAACCTGCTGAACCTGCTGATTAAAATTTGCTGAACAAAGATACACCAAACTGGAAATATAGGGATTTAATTTTTATTTAACTGACAGTCTATGCAGCCTAATCCAACCTTAATTATTTCTCACCCTTTAGGCACATGAAGATCCCATGTATGACATCATACAAAAGAATAAAAGACATGAAAAAGATGTGAGGTGAGGCTATCCTAAAGATAACAAAGGAATGAGATATTCGGAGGGCAGGAATAGTCATCAATAAAGGCAGTGTACGGGAAATGAGCGGCAGCCTTGTTTTATTTGAGCTGTCTTAAAGCAGTAGACTTGACCCAGCTTGACCCACACTACTGAGAATTCACATTGACAACCCACATTGTGGTGTACAATTAATACTCTTTCATGAAATTCAGTTCATCTTCTCTACTGTCTTTAAGGATCTGAGTTATTGTTAAAAATCATTCTTACACACATGACCTAAAAAATAGGCAGGCAGTTAAAAAGTCACCTCTCCAAAGAAGACAGAGAGAGATGGCCAACAGATACATGAAAAAGTGCTTGTCATCACTTACTGTCAGGGAAATGCAGAGCAAAACCACAGTGAGTTACCACTTCACACCTATGAAGATAGCACATTTCAAAAAAATTAGAAACAAAGTGTTAGATATGGAAAAAATGGAACCTCCATATTCTGTTGGTGGTAATGGAGATTGATATAGTCTCTCTAGAAAACAGTATGGAGCTAAAAATGGATATACCATATGACCCAGTACTTCAACTCTTAGGTATTTTCTGAGAGAACAAGCAATAGTAATTCAAAGGAATACTTTCAATAGCCAAGCTATGGAAACCACCTCAGTGCTGAAAGACAGATAAGTGGATAAAGAAGATATGGTATAGGGGCCCTCCCTGGTGGTGCAATGGATTAAAGTGCAGCACTGCAACACTAGCCATAGCTACTTTAGCAAGAGTTAATTAAGACTTCCATCCCCAGCCAGGGAGCTGAAGCACATGGTACACCAGCCCTCTCCTGACCTGCCCACTGCATACCTCAGCAGTGTACTTCGTCAGTCAGCCTGTTCTGTTCCCCACTCTGTCTCTGGTGAATTCTCTCACTGCCCCTGTACCTCTGGCCTGTCCCACAGTTCTGTATGAATGAATGAATGAATAAATAAATAAATCTTTAAAAAAATCTTAAAAAACTAATGCTATAATATATTGGATATGATCTATGTGCTTACAGACAGGGTTTTTGAGAGAATAAACTATAGGCTAGCCATATTGTGGAGGATATGGGAGTTTAATACATCTGTTAGCAGTTATCATTTTGAGGACTATAGAAAGGTGCAGAAATATTCTGGATAATAAAAGGATTAAAGTGGTTATATTCATGTAAAATAGGCATGGTGATGCATAAGAATAAGGAAAACATGGGAATATAAAAATAAACACTATCTTTCATGGAATGGCTATTTATGACTATTTTCAAAACTCACTAGCACTCATTACTATTAAAAGAAATATTTTAGTTTAAGTATTATTCTCTGACCAGCCTTTGTATGTTTAGGATACAACAGTTGAAGCAGTTACTGGAGGATTCTACCTCAGATGAAGGTGAGAGCAGCTCCAGTTCCTCAGACTGTAAAGAGAAACACAGGAAGAAGAAGAAGAAGAAAGAAAAGCGTAAGAAAAGGAAGAAAGAAAAGAAGAAGAAAAAACAAACGTGTAAGTCTTCCAAGTCAAACGAGAGCTCAGACACAGACTGACAAGAACTTGACCTGTTCAGCATTCTCATTTCAAAAATCAGATACTGTGGACAAAGAGCAGAGGAATGTGGGTTGGGAGAGAAATCAAGATGGACACTGAGAAGATGTGACCCAGAGGGATTCGTGTCTCCCAGCCCTTTTCATTGTCCCCCTGCTGCTCCCTGAGGAGCTTTGGGATTCCTTTGATGGCCTCTGCCAGGTGCCTGGACTGAGGCAACTCCGAGAGGTCTCATTTAGGTGCTGCTTGCACCCTCCAGAGGGGCTACTTCATTCACAGATTTCAGGCTTTTCTGTATCGTTGAGAATAATAAAAGCTCATTATTTTATTAAAAAAAAAAGCAGTCATACATTTGATTTTGAATCAGATACTTGTGTGTCCACATACACGTATACTTGTGTGGTCCAAATTTTAAAGTTATATAAGGTTTCACCGTGAAAATCCTTCCTCCTCTCTCCTGGCTACTCAACTCCCTTCCCCAGTGGCTAGCAAAGTTATCGGTTTCTTGTGAAGTCATCCAAAAACACTTCATGTGTCAATAGCAAATGTTTTATTCTCTTTAACACAAATGATAGCTTATTGTGGGCTTTTTCCTGCATAATTTTTGCCTTTTTTTGCCAACCCTGCTCGTTAAAGCATGGTGGACCTTGCTGCATAACAGAGGCCTGCTTATAAACCCTGGGCATGACTGGCTGGATTTTGTGAGTAGGATATCCTGTAACAATGAAAAACTATGTATTCATGTGCTTAGATTTATTGCCATTGTCCTATGACTGTTTCATTAAAATTACCAGGATATATAGGAACTACTGTACTGGATCAGCCACCCACATTCCAAAATACATGGCTCACTTCCTCATTCTGTAGGCTGAGCACAGCTCACCTGGAAACTTTTAACTTTCAGTCAACAGACTGGGGTGTTGTCTGCTCACAGATGTTGGTTGGTTGTTGAGCCAAAATGGAGCCAGATCTTGCTTATGAGCAAGTCTCCTTCCTTCGCAACCAGATCTCTTGCTGCTTCCATCACTCAAGGACCCAGGAACACACTCTTCCCACTTCTTCTTTCCTTGGGAGTTAAGAATAACTCATGCTGACCAGGCTAGCTCTTAATCTTAGAAAGTTCATCTCAGTAACAAAAGTGACTCGGTAGTTGTTATTTCTGAAAACCAGTATATTCAGCCATGTCTGGCATATATATATCCTTGGCATCCTACCTCAGCCTGTAGCAAAAATTTCCCCTTCCAGGAATTTTCTTTCTCCTGCTGGACGCCCATTCATGATTCCATATTGCTACAATATGGAATAATGTCAGTAATTTTCAAACTTTAACACTCCTGTGTTAGAAATTGGGATATAGCAGGTGAAAACATCAGTAAGGACACAGTGGAATTCAGCAGTATCAACCAGTTGTGGGTAACTTATATCATAGGCTAACAGCACACATTTATGTATTCTCACTCACATGGAAAACTCTCCAAGACAGACCGCACTATGGGCCATAAAACACGATAACAAAGTTAAAGATACATTGACTATACAGTATGTGCTCTTAGATCACAACTGAATTAATACAGAAATCAACAAATCTTTTTTTTTTTTTTTTTTTATTCACTGTCACCCTTGCTCTCCTCCCTTTTGTGTTGAGTAAGACAATTTCTGACCTCTCCTCTGAGCTCCCCAGGCCCTTCTCTCCTTGGGCCTAAAGCTGCTGACACTTAAGGAAGAGGAGCTGACCCCAGGAGAAGGAGAGAGGAGGGAGGCCAGCCCTACAGTGCATACCTGAGAAGAGGAAGCTTCCCAAGAGGGCTGTGAAGTAGACTTAATGCTACTGAGCTTAAAAGGGGCAAGAGGGTGGGGAGGTGGCCTCTGGCCATCAGGACACCTTTGGCTGGGGGAAAGTGGTAAGGTAAAAGGCCAGAGGAGATTGTCTTTGCATGTGAGAGAAAGGAAAGATGAGGAGTTTAACAGGAGCTATGGATTCGTAAAGAGCACTGGGTTTCTTGCTTCGTTTTTTAAAAAACAGGAATTTAGGTATTTTTGTCTTAAATGGAGAGACATGGAAGTGGCTGCAGAGAGGGGTGTTCAGAGGATATTCGGGAGGCAAAAGAGAGGCTAAGGCTGGTCACAATGTTTTATCTTGGGCAGAAGAGAAATCACCCTTGAGATAAGAGGGAAATGAAGTGCTAACGGCAGACATTGCAAAATGTCTAACAAGCTAATATCTGACAGCTTGAATTTTTTTTTTTTTGGTGTGGTAATAGAGATTCTTTTTTTTTTTTCCTCATTTATCATCTTTATTACCTAACTTAGCAACTTTTTTTTTTAATTTTATAACAGTTTATTTTTACATCATTTTGTACATTTTTTTTCCATCTCAATTGTAATCCCTGCGGGTTTCCCATCACCATGTCACCTGTGTGTCATTACCAAAATCCCGTGCACGTCCTTCCCCACCCCCCGTTAGCTTGAATATTTTTTTAAAGACAAGAATAGGACTTCCAATTTCTACGCATGTAGAAATCCTGATTTGTCTGGATTTTGGATGTGGACGTAGTCATTGCAAATATAATAAATTTTTGTTTCTTCTTTTTCAGTGCATATTTTCTCATTTCTTTGTCATTATCTAAGACCTTCTGTACAATATTGAATTTAGAAAACTCAGAGGTCTGTCACCTTTGTGATTGACACAGTGACTATTTGGATCAGGAAGCTCATAACCAACTGTTTCAGCAGAAACAAATATTCATTGATGTCCTTTACCCTGGGGAAGAAACTGTAGCTAAGACAAAAACTTGGGGAAAACTAGGATAATTTCTGGTTTCATGGGAACAAAAATGTAAGAAAATGTAATTATACTGTCACTGAAAAAATATATACTTTTCCCGTGCTAAGGTAAAGAAAATCCCTAACTTCCAATATTTTATTTTCTTGAAATTAATTTTTTTGGTTTACAAAAAATATGTTGAAATAATGATGAAGTAAACTGAGAGTACATACTGTTGGAATTTGATTTGCCAAGTAGTGACTAGTATCTACTAATTGTGATAAGTAATATGGCAATTAAAAATGTAAGGGCCTCTCTAGTGGGCCAGTGGTTAAGTCTCTGCACAATGAAGCTATCAGCAGCTCAGGCCAGGGAGCTGACCCACATGGCTCTGCAGACCTCTCCTGTCTCACCGGCTGTATTTCAGTCAGTTGACCTGCCCTATTCCCTACTCTGTCTCTGGTGAATCCTCTCACCTCCACACCTCTGGCCTGCACCCCAATTCTTGTATGCATAAATAAACCTTTAAAGCAAAACTGAAGTAGCTAGTACTCTGCAACAGGCAGCACAGTAATGCATGCAGCAGACGACCCTGTTTGTCATAACAGTGACTTTTAAATCATGAACACTAACTTAAAATCAAATGCATGGAAGTATAGTTTACATTGACTAAAATACACCCATTTTAAGTATGATTTATTGATTCTGACATATGAATATACCTGTGTAATTACTATCGCAGTCAAGGCATAGGACGTTTTGATTTTTTTTTCTTTTTTAAGATTTATTTATTTGTACATACAGAACTGGGGTACAGGACAGAGGTGCAGGGGTGGTGAGAGGACTCACCAGAGACTGAGTGGGGTGCAGAACAGGCAGACTGAAGAAGTACACTGCTGAAGGACATTTCCATTTTTCCATAAAGTTCCTTGTGCTCTCCATCCTCATATACATTCTATCAGTATTAGGTTTTTCTTTTTTCAAAGATTTATTTATTTATGCATAAAGAACTGGGGTACAGGGTTGAGAAGATTCACTAGAGACAGACTGGGGAACAGAAGAGGCAGATAAACAGAAATGCACTGCTGAAGTTACCAGTAGGCAAGACAGGAGAGGTCTGCTGAGCCATGTGAGTTAGCTTCTTTGCCAGGGATTGAACTTGTGCTGCAGTGGCTGCCTATAGCTTCATAGTGCTGAGCTTTCACTTGCTGCCTCACCAGGGAGGGCGAAGATTGGCTTTTTTGAAACCCAAAACATATCATAGCAGCCTGCCAGCCCTCAGTGGTTTAAATGTTGAAAAAGGAATGCTTTAAGTAATACCTAACTAGGAGATAGCTATTTGTCTCACCCAACATCCATTCCCACCCCTTTTCTGCCCTCCAGCCTTCTGCTAGAACTAGGAAAAACTTCTGCAGTTACTGGTGGTTAAATTACAGTTCCAGAAAATGAACTGAATATAGAAGTCTCTGAGTTAGGGTTGTAAGATACTATCTAGAGGAAGCCTTTACTTTCCTGGAAAACAAAAACAGATGGTCAAAGGCCCTCCCTGATGGTACAATACTGTGAACTTAGCTGCAGCTTTATCACAATTTCAATTCCCAGCCAGGGAGGTGACCCACATGGCACAGCAGACCTCCCCTGTCTCACCTGCTGCTCCCCTCAACAGTGTGCTTTGTAGATCTGCCCTTTCTGCTTCCTACTCTGTCTCTGGTGAATCTTCTCCCTCCAGACCCCACACTTCTGGCCTGAAGCCAGTTCTGTATCCATAAACAAACAAATCTTTAAAAAAAAAAAAGCAACAGATGGTCAAAGACACTCCTTCCAATCTTACTGTTTTGAACAAAGGTGTGAAAATTGGAAGCCATCTTGCAGCCATGAGACAAATGTCAAGAAAGTCACAGAAAGTGTGGCCCTGCTATCCTTGAACTATTGTGTGACCAGTTAGTTATTTCAGTCATTGCAATGGATTTGTTTTTAAACTACATTAAACTATCATGGTGGGGTCCTCCCCGGTGATGTGTTGCACAGCATTATGACGCTAGAAGCAGCCACTTCACTAGTTCAATCCCTTGACAGGGAGGTGTCCCACACTACGTGGCCGACCTCTCCTCACCTGTCTGATGTTCCCTTCAGCAGTATACTCTGTCGATATACCTGTTCTGCACCCCATTCTGACTGGTGAATCCTCTCTGTCCCTATACCTCTGGCCTGTACCCCAGTTCTGTATGCATAAATAAAAATTTAAAAAAATACCATGGTGATGGCACAAGGGTGAACAGGTGGTAGGAAGTTCAGGGGATTACAACCAAGATGAATAAAATGTACAAAATGAAGAATGATGTAAAATATACATATATAAAAGTAAAAAAAACCTAACTGTACATAAATATACAGCTATTAAAATTATACTTTCTTAGTCTTTTTCGTTCTCACAATTACTACTTTTCATATAGGTAGTATTACCTGTTATCACTATAGCTAGAAAACTCACTGGTCCATCACTTACTTTCCTTCATCCTCTTAGTAATTAAGATATCAAATCCGTCTGT